AAATATGAATAATATGAGAGATATGTATGATACGAGAGATATGTATGATTAGTTACAGCAAAATAAATATGCATGTTAGTAGATAAATAAATGTCTCAGAAAAATATATGTTATGAAGAATAAAATTATTTATATGTGAAAGCTCGTATATTTGCATGTGCATGTTAAGAGGAGTTCATCCCCCAATGGTGCAAGCAGGGGATGCAATGTACCAGCACGCATAGTTTTTCTACCACCCCAAACAATTGTGATTTTTAGATCACTAACCATTTTGCCTACGAGAAAATATTGACTACGGGATAGTAGATAGGGCTCAGGGCTCACCGCTCCAAATAATTGTGATGTTTATATCACTAACCATTGTGTTAATGTGAGAATATCGGTCAGGGGCAAGAGGGGACTCTTCCACCTCAAAAAAATTATGATGCTTAGATCACTAACAATTATGAAGACAGAATAATATCGGTCAAGGGCGTGTTAGATTTTGTTGATGGTGATCCTCAAAGAAACGAATGTGTATGTAATGAGTATGAAGTAAAAAAAAATTAAAAGTAAATGCATATGGAAGATGTTAGTATTTTCATTGAGTAAAAGTCATTGATACATGCATCAAAGATTTCTTATAGAAATATAAAAGATTGGCATATTCCAAAATTTCTTATAGAGATATGAAAGACCATCATACATTATTTTCTTTTTATTGAATTATTGTAGTTTAAAAATTTGATTACTCTTGAAATATCTTTAGATAACATATTATATTGTCTAAATATTTTTTAGATTTTAAGTTTTTGAATAAGATGAATAGAAGAGAAGCAAATATGTATAGTAAGCGAGAATAACAACCAGAAATGTACAGATTTCTATTTGTCAATTAAATTATTTTCTTTAGTGGCACTTTCATGAATATTTGAATATTAAATTGTTAGTAATAGAAACAGAATAGTAAGGATTTAATTTCTATCATCCAATTGTCTGTTCCTATTTTGGTTAATTTCAAGCCCCAGGCTGAGTCGTGACAGTTCCCGCCTTGGCATTTCAAATCTCTAAGTTGGGTCGTGACAACTACAGACAAGGAACATGTTCTTTAACAACATGATTTTGCGACTAAATGACACCAAAGATGAGAGCGACTAAATGACACCAAAGATGAGCAATTAAGACCGAGGCCCCACTAATTTAGTAGTTCATCGCAAAATACCAGTTTGTTTTATATTAGAGAAATTTACCACCTTCGGTTTAAAGTGGATGTGGTGGGAGGAGGGGGAATCATGATGAGACGAACAAAATTTCATGGTTACATCATTCTAGGTTAACTTGAACCTTGGTCATACACAAAGCACTTAATGTCTAACGGATAGCCTTAATCTAAAGTTCTTTCTTGTCACTGTGAGAGGTAATAAACCATTTAGACTTGCGCCTATGGGAAGCATAAAATTAGTACTTAAAATTCCACAAATAGGGGTAGAATCTATGGGTTGTGCCTCATGTAAAAAGCCGCAATAACTATCTAAAAATTTGACTAGGAATAAGCAAACTCTTTGGAGATTTAGGTACAAACTTTTGGACCCACAAAAAAAATACATGTACGGAGGAATGGAGCATTTTAACAGAAATAAACCACAAAATAGGATCAGAGAGATGAAATGGACAGTTTATGAAGAAACTTGTTTAATCAATACTTCAATTTTGTCAAAAGAGGAATTCGCACGTTCATAATGCACCAAATAATCAGAGAGGTTGTGCATTGTGCAGCCTAGTTTGACAGTTAGCTTCAGCTTGTCCACCAGGCTATCACGATATGTCCGGCAATGTGCAAAAGATAATGTGCTGCACCAACACGTTTTTCATGTTTATAAACATGCAGAGATGTATGATAGCCGACATGGGGAATGGGATAACAAAGCAAATCTCGGCTTTAGAACAGAATTGAAAGTTTCAACGACAATGTATGATAGCCGACATGGGGAATGGGATAACAAAGTAAATCTCGGCTTTAGAACAGAATTGAAAGTAACTTTCAACAACATCAGCTTTTCTCCTTCTGTAAATATTTGAACTTACACTTATCATCAAATGATCAACTGATAATATGGAATCGACTAAGAATGAGCATGAAAGAAAAAAAAACAAGGAAACAAATCAAGGTTAATACAAGAACAAGTGATAAACATACCATTTAAGAGGCAAACCTTTATATTCAAACCAAACTGAGTCAACACCAGGTGGCAAAGTGTCATTGAAGTGAGGTTTTACAACGGTCACCAACAAAGGCAAATATCCAAGACGTGGACCCAAAATCTGAAAACAGAATTAAAAGTCTAAAAGAGCAAATTAAAGATGCATCAAGCTAATACTGTTCGGTAATTTGAAACACTAGGATGTGCAAATTAAAACTTATAGGTATGTCAATAAAATGTAGACTGAAAGAAAAAAGGAGCAATACATAAACTAAATGAATAGATCAAAATAAATATACTTCGCCACAGGCATCAAGAGAATGGAGATTTGTAAATGATCACGTCTAAGTTTGTAAATGAAATTGTTTTTTAAACAATAGCATGACTCTTAACCACAATTAGGAGTCACATGACAAAGTTTACTAAATAAGAATAGATTTTGTGATTATGTAAGTCCTAAGATCAACTGGTCGACTTCCAACCCAAAACCAGCACTTCATTCTAAAAAACATGAAAACAGAGACCTCTAGACCACAAGGTTCAGCCAAAATTAGAATATGATCAAGCTAATAAGGTCAACAAATCAATCATAAACATATCAGCTTAATAAGCTACTAAAATGAAATCATCATCTAACAAAATTTTAAAAAAATTTGAAAAAATTATAAAAGATTGTGCACAGTATATCAATCAATCTTTAGCTATATTGATACTTAACCGGAAGTACAAGTTCTGAGGCTAATAGCTTTATCAGGCGAGATCATTACGAAGATAACTCGAGGAAAAGCGCTCCTATTATATATGACTTGAATAAGAAAATCCAGGCCAGTGCCACAAAAGGATGCTTACAACCTTTGTAATGCATGATAGCCATATCTAATACCACACAAAATTGAGAATGCATTTCCTTCTAATACTGGTAATGGTAGAAATAAAGAAACAGAAAGAAAAAAAATCAACTTTCCAATTATTGGACATCGCCACACAACTGCCGTCAAATTTGAAAAGCCAATGACATTTTCCGATTCAATAAGCAATAACAATCTGAAGGCTGTTTTATTTTGAAAATATCAAATTCATGGAAAATTATTTATACATGGAATCAATAAAAGTAGCTAAAAGCAATCAGGTCATTATGAACCTTTAATACCCAAAAATGTCAAAGAAAGTATAGAGCATTCCTCTTGAAAATAATCCCCCATGTTTCACACATTCCAAAAAAAAAAAAAACATATTTTTATAAACTACTATATTTTAATTTGGTAATTTTAATATACAAAGTTTGTATAAATCAATAAGTATATTAAAAATTATTAATTAACGTCTCAGTAGAATTATTTTTCTGGTTAATTTGATGGATTAAAATAAGTTATTAGTTACACACACACGCACATATATATATATATATATATATATATATATATATACCTGGAGGCAGTATCCAGAGTACAAAAACTCGGGTTAAAAAAAAAATAGAGAAGACAAAAAAAAAAGAAGATGAAAGAATATAAGAAGAAAAAAAGAAGAGGAGAAAATAAAGAGAAGGAGAAGAAGGAATGAAAGAGTAAAGTTAGAAATTTAGGTAAGAATTCTGATTTTCTGTAGTTCCTCCATAAATAGAGTTTGTTTTCTATTGATAAGCTGAAAGGCTTAAATGAAGAATTCTTTCGAGATACAAATATTAATTGAGGTTAATTGGTTTATTTACTACTTATTGATTTAGGAATTTATTATGTTTATGAAATCAATATTTTAATTAGATTATTTACGAAAGAGCAAGTTCTCAAAAAAATATAAATAGAAAATGTCTCAAAAAAAATCCTACAACGTGATACTCAATCTCCAATATTAGAAGCAAATGGTTAGCATATCTAATGTTTATAAGATGGATTCATATCTAGCATATCATTAGCATCTATTGTTGTCAGTATAGTTATTAAACCTTTATACAATCACCTATTCTAAATAAATTTATGATAGTTAAGTTAGTTTAGTTTTACGATTTGCTTCATAATATGAAGCATAATTAAATATCCAAAAGTTGAATTTTATATGTCATATTTTATATTGACACGTTTCAATCAAAATAATTAATAAAAGGTGTATAACAATACAAAATAATTTCACAAGCTTATGATAATGATACTAAGAATAAAAAAAAATCTATTAAAATGATATGATGTTTATATATGTTTTGATACATTCATATCGTTAGTTTGCCACTTGGCTAATTGACCATAATAATCATTGAAAAAGTTTTCCTTGATTCAAGACCGGACTATATCATACGAACTTTCAATAATTGAGAGTATTAATGATCCATCAATTCAAGGCTATGTGGTATTGCATCAACTTTCTTGAATTAAGACCCTAGGCTGTCATTTTGTTCCTACAGAGACTCATTTCATTAGAATTTTCACTGTTCTATATGTAGGTCATCTCCAACAGTTAATCTATATAAGAAAAAATAAGAAGAAAAAAAGTTTTTGATACAGATAGTTGGCTCATCATAATACATTAAATGTTTGACATTTAAATAAAGCATTTTATTTCTCATTTGAAGGTAAACTTACTGCTTAAGACCATATTTTACTTACGTAATTACAAAGCCGAACTTGCTTTAAAATTTATGCACTATATTAGTCAAGTCTACGATTAGAAATAAATATTATTTGTGATAAAATAAAGATATATAATTTATTTATTTATTTTTTTTGAATCATACAATAGAGTTACTTATCCCAATAAAATTTTTAGCCCATCAAATATTACTTTGATTATTATTTTAATCGAGTGAAAAAAAAAACAAGTGGTTCTATAGTCGAGTGACCTAATTTGGTCTCATCTTAGGCTTTTAAGAATACAAGTTCTAAATGTAATTACTACAGATCCAGTTGGTTCTAAAGGCTAATATATTAACTAGAAAGAAAGATAGGGCCCAAAAATAGTACCCTGCTCACACCAAAACTATAAGGGGTTCCACAACTAGAAAATACTGAAAAGTACATTAGAGACATAAAGAAAAAAAAAACCTATAAATGCATAAATACATAATAACAGGTGATTAAAGAAAGATAGGGCCCAAAAATAGTACCCTGCTCACACCTAGAAAATACTGAAAAGTACATTAGAGACAACGAAAAAAAAAACCTATAAATGCATAAATACATAGTAACAGGTGGTTAAAGAGCAACCCAATTTGGTTTTGTCTCTGCCTCTGGTTCTAGGAAAGGAGCAAGCTAATAAGTTGATAAGATGATTGTCATTGTCAGTAGTAATTACTGTATCATCCAATATGTTTCTGAGCTGGAGTCGGCCTCCATTCTTTTTCTTCCTCCTGGAATAGACCTGTCATTCCTCTTTCGAAGATTGGCTCGTCTGATTTTGGTCTAAAGTGTGCTGGAGATGTGCAGATTGTTGGACATTAGAAGCAAGTACATGTACCGGCTGATGTGTTATTAGATCAAATGAGCACTCCGAGCACTCTCGTGTGTCTTGGCGTGTAAGTGAATCATTTTCAATAATAGTGGTTGGTATGAGCACAACTGGATCTGTAGCTACAATATGTTTTTCTTCAGGAACTGCGGAGTTGGGAAGGGAATCGGGTTGCATCTGCTCAACAGGGATAGTAGGTAGCTGTTCTTTAGCGATATTCGGCTTTAGATAAGGATGCAAAAGATAACAAATAGTAGAGTTGTGGCCAAACATACTACAATGAGAGCAATAAGGAGGATGTGGTTCCATTACCTTTTGCCAATATTGTCAATACCCGTTGAAAGTGGTTCTAATCCAAACCTCATCCGGAGCTGGTTGAGTGATATCTCTCTCAACTAACACACAAGCAACAGAGGGTTACAAGCCACAGAGGGTCTAGTGACAGCAAGCATAGGACTATCCACCTTGAGAGACTTATCGTAAGTAGTTGCTAACAAGTAGAGGATTTCAATGTTGAACAGATGTAATTTTAACCCCGAAAACATTATCCAAACAGGAATGATAGGGGACTTCGCTTTTGGATCAAAACCGATAGTCCACTTCAGAATTTTCATAAAACGATTGTCAATTTGATAGCTTTTCGAGAGAATATGTATATGTCTACCGTCAAGTAGGCCAATGTTCCAACTGCCCAATAGTTTCATAGCATCAAACTCCTTCCTTATAATCTCCAGTTTTGGGTGGTCATAAAGAAATTTCTCCACTAAAGAAAAACGCCAAGAGGATGCGAGAGTACCGGTTTCAACCTCTGTGAGAATAAGTGCAGGCTTCCCATTTTTTTTCCATAATCAATTGGTATTTACATTATATTTTTATTTTGTGCAAGTTGTTGCATAATAATTTACAACTTAAGCAATTTGTTATTTTTTATCATGCTA